ACTAGATTATTATGATAATTTTTTGCATTTAAAAGAAAAACCAAATACATGTGCATATATATACAGTATATTAAAAAAAAAACTTGTTTTAAGTAAAGTTATGTAATAACTAGTTTTATAATATAGTCTTTAATTTAGTAATATATAAATTTAGATATTGTGCATAGAATAGACTTTACTTTATCAATAGTAGTAAATGCTTTTTATTTATTATAACTAATAATTTAAGTACAAATATAAAAACTACTCTGATATCTATTTAAGTTTAAATAGGCAACTTTACTTTAAAATAATATTTTTCATCTTTTCTGAAATATCTTCTCTCAAGTATTACAATGGTGCTAATGTTAACAAAACCAAGAGCAGTAGATATAAATATCCATCTCAAGGATGCTGCAATACATTTACAAATCTTACAAGACTTATTGAATATGTAAAAGAGATTTACTGCTCTATGGTATTGGGTGTTCAATATCAACTGCAATATATACAAACTGTACATGATAAAAATAATGATATTGAATTGTTTAAAGAATCTTTGCTTAAAGAACTTGATGATCTTATTAAAGATTTAGAACATAATAAACAAATATATCTACCTTTAATTGAATGTGGTTATGATATTTGCAAAGTATTTGGTAAAAGTTGTGAAAGTCTTTTAAGATTAAAGAAAATTTCAAAAGCTTTAACCAACATCAATTACTTTCTACTAGAACAATTTTGAGTAAAAAGATTGCTTCTGAGAAAGAAAAATACAAAACTAACCTTAAGATATAATAATTTTTTATTGAAAGTATTTCTTTTTGAAGATAAATTTATTTAATGATTTTTTTTAGTTGTCAAGGTGAAATTAAAAAACTTAAAAATGAGCTTATTGATAATAAGCAAAAGATCATACTTTTAGAAGAAAAGTATAAAAAATTAAATGAAGAATATAAAAAATTTTTCAAAAAGTATGATGAGTTGAGGAAAGATAATGAGACACTGCTCAAAAAAATAATGAATATTTTGTAAAACATTATTATGAGTCACAGCAAGAGATTAGAGTATTGCAGAAATAAATAAGTTTTTTGTATTGAATATATATATTAAATAAACTACTATAATGAATATATTGTATTATATTTATAGAATCTAGAATTGTATAAAGAAATTGAAAATTTAAAAGAAAGAAATAAGTTAATTTCTGTTATTGCTTTAATTTTAAATGATGAATAGTCTTCAGAAGTCCAATGATTCTTGAATAAATTTGTTCTTATTTGCTGCTTAAAATCAATGATTTAACAAAATAAACAGTTCTCTCATATAAATGTTTTTAATTGAAG